AAACATAAAAGCTGTCTTTTCATCCAGTTCTATCACATGTAAACCTGTTTCTCGAAGCTTTCTCTATCAGATATACGTCTGTAGGTTTATGACCGTGTAGCCGGGGCAAACCCGATCAATCAGCAGGAGCTGCAGGATTTAATAGGTGCACAGCTCTCACTGTAAAGTATAAGGTGGGAGAGTATATTTAATCACTAAACAGGATGACCGTGGCAAAACAAAGATCCATAGTTCGCTAAATGAGAAGTTAGTKTACCATTGATATGCTCACTGAAATATTGGGTAATGCCTTTGTTTCTGTAACCAAAGAAATTGAGCTAATGCAGAAAAATGTTTTCAAATTATTTAAAATCATCTCATTTTAAACCTATCATAAAAGTTTTATCAGTTTCAATTGACTTAAAGTTATGAAAAATGTTTTTGATCAAGTAAAGATTATTTTACAATTTCTACATGATTTTTTTAATTGGTATTTAGTGAAATACAATTGAGGTAGTGGGAAGCAAGGGTGCTACAGGTGGTAACTGATGGATGCCTATGGACATGCATGCCCAAATACGTAGTTAAAGAGTAAATGAAAAACTGTGACAGATTATAATAATAGCAATAATTACTGATGCACACGTTTATTTTTCAATTTTGTTTCGATTTGACTGAATTTAGTAAGTCTATAGGGTTTTGTTTACAGTATGGTCTGGATTCGATTAGTTTTTATTATTAATAAATCTTTCTCTAGTTATACTGTGGTATACAGTAATATTATTGCATGAAGAGGCTGATGATATTGCAATTTTAATATTTGATATATGTTTAACCTAATTTTCGTCGAAAACAGTTGACACATACATATTTACTTTGTCAGAACAGCAGGGACCAAAAAGAGTTACAGCAAAATGATGAATTACAGTTTGAACAAACAGTTTAAAACATGTTAATTACAATGGTACTTGTAAAGGTTATTTTAATTGGTTCAGCATATTACAATAATGATAGAAAATCATCATATCTTCTTCGTTGTTATAAATGGCCTTACTGACATATTGGCCTTTTTAGATTCATGTAGGAAAAAACAGGCTGCAAACTCGCAGTGAAAGAATCCAAAACGTTATGGTCAGTAATAATTRTTAACATAATTTAACATTTCACTGGAAGTTTACTTCCATTTTCATTTTAGGAATACTTAGCAGTTGTTCAGTTGTTGCGGAATTTTCCYATCAAATTGTACTGCAAAGTTATTTCCAACTGTGGTGGCACGATTTACCAAGAATGCAGAAACACGTTGGAATAAATGCACAGAAAGTCTGCGTGTATGKTMGTCAAATGATTTAATTTGAGCAACAACAGAGCAGAAGTCAATCAGAGAAGTCTGTCAAGTTGTGGCTAGCTCGTCAGTGATAATRTAACATCCTGTAACATGCTTACAACCAATCACAGTTCGCCAACTGTGAACCATCTAACCAATGRCAGGGCTGTCAGCCCGGAAACACCTTATCAAAATAAAAGAGGTCWTGCATTGCTGGAGTCTTGAAGTCTGGGCCGAYAGATTAAAACAGCCGAAACTAGTTATCATGAGATATGRTTACTGGACAGTGTCAAGGTAGAACAGATATACAWAATTATTCCATAACACCAACATTTCAAAGAAAGAGAGGCTCCACAATCCYGATGATGTATAGAAACCTGCAGGGTGGTGGTGTTAAAGGTTTGGATGCAGTTAAAAGTGGTAAATCCCACCCCCACAAAAATGTTCATTTGCTTCCACATCATTGATTTTTTTGAAGCTTCCCTAATATAATTCATTTGTTAAAGTGTGACAAATAAAAAAAATATTAATTTCCTGATTCATTTTTGAATAAGGAAGTGTGTCGAAAGTTTTGGAGCGAGACTTCATGTGAAAGTGTAATTCTCTGTTTACATTGCAGCCTCTGTGCCAGATCCCTCCTGTTTTAACTGTGATTGTTGTGAAACATAAACAAATGGCTGCAATAATAACTTGACTGAGCTGTAAAATTCTGCCTAGAAGTATCATAAAACACTGTGTTGTGTTTACTTATCTAATGAGCTTCTAAACTCAAGGGTTTTTTGTTGTTGTACCAGAATTTTTTGTTTGTTTTGTTACAAACTAAAACTGCAGACATTTTATTTTTGTCTTCAGAAAAAGCTAAAGGAACCACACTTCTCAGCTTTCCTTAGAACGTTTGCTCTGTGGTGTTGAAAAAAAGCTCCAATTGATGGCTGTGGAACAGTAGACCAGTGGACTAGAGCTGCACCCTTGCTGGGTTACTAAAGGGACCTTGGGAGTTTGACTGTCCAGTCTACATATCTCTTGAAGATCTAAAGAAGGCATACAGTTGCCTGTGTTCTTAGCACAAAGTCTAGCTACATTTCAATGCTGGTTGGACTCTGTGTAAGCTGTCCCATGTCTCCAGTCTGTTTGTGGTGTTCATGAACAGAATTTTAAGGGTCAGTCGTGGAGCACAGGATGTCTGATTTGGGAGTGGCAGGTTCTGATTTCTGAGTTTCGCAGATAATGTGGTTTTGTTGGTGTCCTTCATTCTATGACCTTCAGCGTGGGTTGAAGGGATTCACAATGGCACGGTATGAGGACCAAAATTAAGACTATTGCACGACCAGCGGTTGCTACAACCTTGTAGCAGGAGGTTAGATCAACAGCGACATGTTGAACAGTAAATTCTGTCTAAGGAACACGTGTCAGTGCATGTTGTAGGTTTTCTATGTCAACCATTATTGTTGAGAAAGTTTTCTTTATTCAAAAAAGTTTGTGAGCAGGTAGGTGAGCAGCCTAGGCATGCTAGTTGCTAGCCTCTCCGATGCTAATGCCAGCTTATCCAGGCACTCCGGCTTCCTCCAACACACCAAAAACATGACCTTTAAGTTAATTGGTAACTCTAAATCGTCCCTAGGTGTGAGTGAGAGAGAGAATGGTTGTTTTTCTTGTTTGTCTCTATGTGTGTCCCTGTGATGGACTTGCGATCTGTCCAGGGTGTACCCCGCCCCTCACACTGTGACTGCTGGATATGGGCACCAGTGACCCACGCAACCCTGAAAGGAAGAAACAGGTATAGATAACGGATGGATGGATGGATGGATGGATGGATGGATGGATGGATGGATGGATGGATGGATGGATGGATGGATGGATTATTTAATTAATAATTTCATAATTCACAGCCAAGTGTAAATTGGCTGGGATGAAAGTCTGAGTACAAGACCACGGTTCTCAACTACACCGTTATGGATTACTACTTTTGAGTCAGGAATGAGTCTCTGCCTTGAGCCAAGTCTTGTTCACGAGTTATGGTAGGATTGAGGATCGATGGTTGGAGGTTTCATCCACAGTAATGAGGGTATTGCCTTCAATTGTTGGGGTAAAGAAGAGTTGAGCCAAAAGGCAAAACTCTTGATGTATTTGTTCATTTACTTTCCAAACCTCACCTATGATCATGGCCAAAAAAAATAAGATTCTGCATACTAGTGGTGGGGAGACACAGTGAGGAGCTCTGTCATCAAAGAGGAGTACAGAATTAAGTCACTGCTCCTCTGCACTGAAAGGACTCAGCTGAGGTGGTCCTGGGAGAGGACCTGGGGCCAGATCCAGAAATCACTGAAGGGCTCTTATATTCTCTTTGGCTTGGGATCCCCCAGGAGGAAACAGAAGGAATAATTTTTGGGGTCCGCTCGTGGTTCTGACCACGACTGAGTGGAAWAAAATGGATAAAAAGCTACTTTGTTGTTCTTATGAATATGTATACGAGTATGTATTGTAATCCACTGAAAATTGTCTAACTTCATTTTTTTATGTTAACTTGTTAAGCTCTTGACTTAAAAAGCACTTTTTATCCTTCTCTCCACCTGTTGTCAGCCTGATTTTGCTGTACAAAACCCTGAATGCCCTTGAACTTACACTGCACAATTTAATCCTGAACACCGGTCTGCCTAATGCCATTATCCTGGGTCTTCTACATGCTAAAAGTCATTGGTGGTGATAGTGGCTGATTAGATTGTGTCCATTGATTGCACAGCGTGCTGTGAGGAGGGCGACAGTGTGGGCTGCAGCTCCAGCATCTCCTCCTCAGATGCACTGACTGACTGAGACAGAGCTGATAGAGCCCCATGCAGGGCAACAGAYTGAGTTATTGATCCACGCTCATCTTTCTCTCGTCTCTGTCTTCTCTTCACTGCTCCAAGAGACCCCTTCATCAGGATAATGAATTTCACTTATTGCAGATTAACAGCACACAGTCTGAATGGCAATAATGGCAGAAATTAGCTGTTTGTTACCCCCTCAGAATTTCCAAAAGGCAAGAGGAGATGGAGATTTTATGGCCGCGTGGCATTGTTACTCTAAAGATGGCTATTTTACCTGAAAAGAGAATTAAAGAGAGAAATTGTGCAAATATAAAAGATTTGATAGGATATTAAGGAGGAACTTATTAAAACAGCTTTATTGAGATATGGAGCAGATATTTTGGTCTGATGGAGGAGATGAAGGAGAGTGGAGGAGATTTTAAAGTGAACACTGAATATCAAGATGTTTGCTGGAAAAGATGGAGCAAAGAGGGGAAAATGAGAGAAGATTGTTGTAAAGTGATGATTACTAAAGTGGAAATGAGAGGATGATCAGGCAGTGGTCATACAGTCACCAGGCAGAGGCGCTGCTTAAAGGTCGCCCATTGTGTCTCCAGCAAAATTGGGGTGGTAAAGAATGAATAATGAGGCTTGATTACAGTCGGTGAGATGGAACATTACACCGAATCAATCCTCCAGACAATTACAGGCAGCACAAACAGCAGCCCAGACAGCAGGAAGTGATTGTGTCAGAGGACAACATCGCCTTCATCCCTGACTTGTTGCCTCTCTGTGTTTGGAGCCATTAGCACTCTGTCTGCTCCTGCAGCACATGTATGTGAGGATGAACATGCAACACTGTGTTGAGCACAAACACTGAAAATCAGGTGTGTTCTTTCTGCTTGCTGCAGGTACGGCTTTGGATTGTTGGATGCTGGGCTGATGGTGCAGCAGGCCGCATTATTCCACACTGTTGCTCTGCAGAGGAAATGCACACAGGAAGTCACATTTCACTCTGCCAGGTAAAATAAGCCTGTTTTCTTTTGTTATCACTCATGTCCGTGTGTATGCGTGGGTCTGTTTGTGTGTCATRTTGGCAATTTGTCTCATCAACTACTGGACAGATTTTAAAGAAACACTGAGTTAGTCACACATACAGCTGATAAACTCTTGGAGTCAACTCCAATCAAAATGGCCGCCACAGCTACGTAAACTCATAAAACACAAAAATGCCACCATAAAAATATTACTAGATATTGTACTAAGTTTTGATGCAGTATGGGGCTGGCCAAAATTGTATTGTGTGCAATTAATTGTCATAAAAACTGTCAACAATTAATATTTGACACTTTACAAGTGTAATTAGTGATGATGTTTTTATGTATAGCACACACAAACACTATCAGGCGCACATGTGAACCCAAYGGTGGAATGCAGCACAGAGAAAGTAATGCTAACCTAACCCTACAAACCTGTATAATCAACTGAAAATACCAACATAAACCAGAGCCTGAGGAAAATAGAGACCAAGGCCACAACGTCAGCTGCATGCAAGTGCAACTGTCATCCATTAGTAATCATATTAATTATTATTAGCTAAATGCCACAATAAATCATAATACTTTTTTGCCAATATTGCCTAACCCTAGTACAGTAGTAGCTGAGAGCCATCCTCAAAGTATACTTTGAGCACTAACTGAGTATGAAAGTTCTGATTTAAAAACTGCCATTTATGGTCTGTCAGCAAAATATTTCYTTAGCCAMTGAATGGGTTKTATTGAAACTCTGAGAAAGTAATTATTGGTTGTACCTCAATAACTAATAATTAACYTTTGAAGTCACTCCAATTCAAGATGGCAGCTGCAGGAAACTGAAGTTAGGAAACACACAAATAGCTTAAAATGTTGTGYGATAGTAGCTGATTCACCCTCTCTCCTCACTCCAGGGCTTAAAGACCCTCCCCAAGCTAAACATCACAGTCACCTATCTGCACAAACAGTGGTTATAACACCATAAAACCACTAAAAGGACAAATTTAAAAGCAGTCTGGCAAATAAAAAAAAAACATTTGTGTTTTAAAAACATATTACTCTTAAATACAACATTATAGAAAGGCAAAAACACCCTTTACGAGTCAAACTTTAGGCATTTATTACTGTAATCATTTTTTGACTAGTGAACCTTATAAAAGTTGTTTTAATTGAAAACTTTGTTACTAAAAATACTTGGATGTTAAAAACCATGATTGGTAATAAAACAGCTAAACAAAATCAATCAATTAATTTTGTTTCCACCAACAAAAATAGTATTGCGCTAATTTTTTGACTTCTCTTTAACTGTCCTGTCGGAGCTTTTTGTGTGTGTTCACACTGTGAGGAAACAGAATTTCTGAATAGAATATTATTTTTATTGTCTGGAAGATTTTTTTCTCCCGGAGGCCAAGCGAGGATCAGTATCCAGTCAGAGGGCTGCAGAGGAAAGTCCAATGAGGTCAACGCTCTGGAGCATGTGCAGGTACAGTTTTCGTCACCCACCAAAAAGGGAAAAGAGAGCAATATTTAGTTTTACTATTTTACTTGCAAAACACTTCACAAATAACATTTTGGAGTCAACCYAATTTAAGTTGAACACCACAGATGATGGACATTAGAAAACACAAAAATAGCCATAACACAGTTTTACAGATACTGAATTCAAATTTGTGCAGTTGTATCAGAAAGCTWTCCTCAATACATACAGTATTTTGCACACTACACACTGAATGAGATTTCTGCTTAAAATTAGAGTAAACTGTAGGAATCKATCGTGTTTGTCTGTTAGCAAAATATCTTGTGAACCACTGGAGAGATTTGAATAAAACTTTTACCAAGTAATTATTGGAAACACATCTACAAATGATTTATATCTGAAGTCAACCCAATTCAAGATGGCTTCCCAAGGTAATTCTTCTTAGAAAAGACATAAATGGCTGTAACTTAGAGAGTGATTCAAATTTAGAACTTAAATGTGRTGTAGCTGAGAGTCATTTTAAATACATACTGTGAGTCATAATAGTTCAGGCAACATCTTGCAATATTGTATAAGTTTGTACATCAAATTATTTTCAAGGTTTCACTAAAATATATACAACTCATTTCTTAACATAAAATAAAAATGATTTTAAAAACACTGGCATGAAAGGTGTTGGGCAATAGTGATGTGTAGGTCGATACTGAAATATTGATACTGCCAATACMAGACCTTTATGCTCTAGAATCGATACTAAAATCAAAATATCGATACTTTGATACTTCAGTTATTTTACATAATGTATATCATTAACAGGAAAGTAGTGAAAAATAATTAAAGCTGTTCAAATCTTGTTTAAATCATGTGGTTGGAGGGAACTACTTTTTCTTTTGCTTGGGTAATGCATCAGCACAGTGGCACATACTCAGTCACTCAGTCTAGATTATAGCAGRTCATTTTAATATAAAATCTGCTTCGTCTGACTGTAATTACATTTTAGATGAGGGGTTCCAAAACTTTTATGCCATTTCCCCCCAAACAGCATTAGTTCTGGCCAAGGACCTTCTTTCAAAACCCACAAACAATGCTACAAAATATAAAAAGTAACACATTTTAGAACGTTTTTTCTCATTTCTATTCACTATTCAAAAATTATTATATTTTTTTAGAATAAGAATTTTAAATTGTGCAAAACAAATATAGGGTTAGGGTTAGAAAGACTTTTAAATTAATAAATACGTTACTATGTCATGTTTTATTTATAAAGCGATCATTTGAAAAACACTACTTTTTAAGATTTAACAGAAACATTATGCGTGTTATCACAAAGTATCAATACTGGATCAGTATCGCCGACACTAATCAAATTTTACTCTGTATCATTATCGAAAAGAAAATTGGCAGTATCGAACATCACTATTGGGCAACATCCATCCATCCATCCATCCATTTTCTGTACACGCTTCTTCCTTTTTCAGGGTCGCGTGGGTCACTGGTGCCCATATCCAGCAGTCACAGTGCGAGGGGCAGGGTACACCCTGGACAGGTCGCAAGTCCATCACAGGGCCTATTGGGCAACATGGCCCAGGGCAATGAAATATTACAGTTTGATTTTTATTCTTTCTTTGGATTATTGATGTTTTCTCTAATCCATTAAACTACTGTGTATCTGGGTAATTTAAAGGGGGAGGTGTTTTGTGAAATTGACTTTTTTTTAGCTTTGTATCATGTTGTAATGTCATCAAAAAGTGTTGCTTTGACTCATTCATGCATGTTTGARAAATCCTGGTAGCTATGTAGAGCTGCCCAAAGGCTTGCTGGTACAAAGCCCCACTCATTTGTACATAGCTCCTCCCTGGAGCTCAGTCTGCAGCAGACATCCTCTGCTCCACAGACCACCCCTGTTGAAGTGGGAGTGTCAGAAGCGGTAGGAGGTTCTGATGGTAACATAGTAACTTGATTGTGGTACAGAACTGAACTATGTACCAAAAACAATTAATACCCCCACTTTAAAAATTACTAATAATAATAACCTCCAATTCTCTTTCACAGTTTGTTGAATATTTTAGAGGTTTTTGTAAAAGCAGTGATTCTATTTCATGACAATCATGAAAAGTGTAGACATGAAATCCAGTTTACAAACTAGTTTGCATCTCATAAAACTCTATAAATCAACTGGTCTGAGTTTTTTGGACTCCTCGCTGACACAGCTTGATGTTTTTGTTCAGAATATACAAAAAAAAAGAAAGATAAATCAGTGTAGTTAAGAGGAGCAAGCACATAGATGTGATTTATTTTGAACCGAGACAAAATACCTGATTCTTCTTATCTCGCCTTCAAGCTTCGATTAACTTAACCTGATGCAGCACTTGTGATACGATCGGAGATAAGATCACCTTTTTCATCTAACTTTCAACAAGAAATTAGTTTTTTTTTTCACAAAAAACTTAAACTTTTCCCTTTAACCACAAAAAAACAGAAGAAAAGTCTATTTTTAAGCATTATTTAGATAAATAGCGTTTGTCCTAAACTGTATTGTTTTGCTGCAAATCTGTTCTTCCAGCCTTTCAGTGTTCCCAATGCCCTTGAAAATGTACAAATCTGGCAGAAGTGCTTTCAAAACTTCACTTCTGTGAGCGCGTGGGGAGGCTTGAAGATGTCATACAAATTGTTTTCGAGTTTCTCTGTCATGCACTGTATCTGAGAATAGAAGATAAAAAAAGGATCCTACTGCGACGTGYAATGTGTTGGCAGTGTCATTTGCAGAAAATGGCAAAACCGTGTTTTCGTGAGCACAGCCGCATACATGCAAATGTGTTTATGTTTGATTGTGACAGCAGGCATACGTGTGTGTTTGTGCACGCTCGGAGTCGTCTGTGCTTGTGAGTTAGTGTGCTTGTGAGAGAGAGAGAGAGAGAGAGAGAGAGAGAGAGAGAGAGAGAGAGAGAGAGAGAGAGAGAGAGAGAG